AATTTAAGGTGCTAAATTGTTCTTCTCTGGGGAATTGCTACAAAATCTATACCGAAATAATTTCAAGTCCAGGACTGGAGATGATCTTCTTTTGTTCCAGTTCTTATGTATATATGTAACAGTTTATCTGTAGTAGGCTGATATGTTCAAACCAATTTTCTAGCCTATTGATACTTTAAGGATAACGGCATCATGCCGGTGCAAGGTAAGCACCGTGTCTCTTCCTCCAATTATCCCATCCATAGCATATCACTATGGCATATGTCTAATGAAACCACACGGAAAAAAAACCATGGACTCAGCTTGGAGGTGCTTCATGTGCCATTTTGTTAAGTAGGACGTCATGATTTAGAATAGTATCCGACCAGGTGAGCTCATAGTGTTTTGCATTTATTAAATAGTCCATGCATTGTTGACATTAATGAGGTATATCTGTTCATTGGGAGATCGCTTACTTAGTGCATGATGCATCTCTGTCCTTTTTCTAAGGATTATTTCTTCCAAACATTCCAATCTTTACATGTTCAAGGCTCCGATCTCATCTAATATTGTTATGCCGTTGGTCCTCAAATATTTTATCATGCAAGTTTTGTGGCTACAACTAAACTAAATGTCGGTGAAGATATGTTATTGTTACCCATCAAGTACTAACTAGCCTTCTGTTTCACCATGTCCTGTAACTATTGTTGAATTAATTTGTTGAGAAATTCCCATTATTTCTTGCAAAGAATCATGATTATTGATCATATGAAAAAGTAGAATAGCAGCTAGTTTGATGCAATTTATATGTTTCTGTAGTAAGTTTTATTTCAGAAAGGAGGTGCGTGTTGGTACTCTTTAATTGCATCTATTCTATCTGTTACTGCTCGCTGTTAAAGTTGCAAGCCAGGTAAAAATTAGCTTTACACAACTACTTTTCGTACGTTTGAAGATTATTGTTACTCAAAGTACTGCTAGATTGTAGTTACTATGTAGATATCGCTCAGAATTATTTTTTTCTTAATTGATCACATTGTACTACGTATTTCTGGTACCTATATTTATATTAGTTTTGTACCTGGTTTTGTGAAGTGACGTGCAACCTATCACACCCATGTGTTCTATTTTTTATCGGCCGGGTTTCCCCATGTGTTCGTGAAAGGGCGAAACAACTATTTTGAGATTCATTTGCAATAAAACAAGCTATGTGTTTAAGTGTTTTAAATAGTAAACCTTGATAGCTTATTATTGAATCTTAGTATTTGTCAATCATGCAGTTTGTTTATATACAACTATTTTGTAAAAATAAAGTTCACTAATATTTGTTCAAATAACTAGCCCGGTCAGGTGCATGGGTTGATGAAATAGTTGTTTTGAGGTGCACAGATTGATGACTAACTAGTTTTTTTAACATGACCTTGAACTTTCTATGTTTGGATGATAAAATTTCACATTTATAGAACATTCTTTCTAAATTGTATATAGCCTGCTTTTTTATATTCTGTTGCCCACGTTTTTATGGTACCCTAATATGGTAGTGGTGTCCCTCCGATGATAGCTTGGAAAATAAACTAATATTATTACTCTAGATTCATATGGGAGTTTGCTGTTATAACTTATTATAATTTTGTACGTTTTTGGATTCTATGCAGGTTTGGCGGTTAGTCCGTGTTACTTGAGATTGAAGTTTTTTAGCAGGAATTACTTGGGTCCGTAGCACTTCCTGGAGAAGTGGTGGTGATGCAGACTAAAATCAGCTAGTAGGACATTTTTTCATGGAAGCCATGTTACTCAAAAAATATATGCTCATAGCGCTTTCTAGATATGCTTGTGTTTTGATATTTGTAACCAAAATAGATTGTTGGAACTTTGTATTGTCATGTGAATAAATGTTATTTTTGAATGAATATAATTTGGGTGTCTTGTTGTAAATTGTGTCGCATCAAGAAAACAGGCTGGACTATAAAAGGGGCTAACGTGTTGGACTAAAAAAATTGGTAGGCTAATGGGTAGGACGAAAATAAATAGCTAATGGGTTGAACTGGACAGAAATTATTGGGCCAAAACCCTAATTGGGCTGGTTACTGCATGGGCCACGTTGGCCTCCACGTCAGATCCACATAGATGCCATGTCAGGTTTGCGTTGCTACCAGGTCATATAAAACGGTGACGGATTGTTCCGTCATGGCCTAGTTTGGGCTGGGCAGGCCTGGGGCAGATCCATGACGGCCGAGAACCGTCATGGAAGATGCAATGTCAAATTATGACGCGATATACATGACGGATTTCAAATCTGTCAAGGATGGGTACGCATGACAGTTTTTGGCTGATCCGTGACGGACAAGTACCGTCATGTATTAACAAGTTTCTTGTAGTGGCTCCGATGGTTCTCTTGAGCGTCACAAAGCTCGTCTTGTGGCTAGTGGTTTTCAGCAGGAGCATGGTCGTGATTATGACGAGACTTTTGCTCCTGTGGCCCATATGACCACTATTCGTACACTTCTTGCTGTTGCCTCTGCACGCCACTGGTCTATATCTCAGCTTGATGTTAAGAATGCCTTTTTAATGGTGAGCTGCGTGAGGAGGTGTACATGCAGCCACCACCTGGGTATTTTGTTCCTGATGGCATGGTATGTCGTCTTCGTTGCTCTCTCTATGGCCTTAAGCAAGCCCCCCGCGCCTGGTTTGAGCGTTTTGCCTCTATGGTCGCTGCCGCTGGTTTTTCAGCAAGTGCTCATGATCCAGCATTGTTTATTCACCTTTCTCCTCGTGGTCGGACTCTTCTTCTTCTCTATGTTGATGACATGATCATCACTGGGGATGACCCCGAGTATATTGCCTTTGTAAAGGCCCGTCTTAGTGAGCAGTTTCTTATGTCTGATCTTGGACCTCTTCGCTACTTTCTTGGAATTGAAGTCTCTTCTACCTCTGATGGCTTTTTTATATCCCAGAAAAAGTATATCCAGGATCTTCTTGCTCGTGCTGCTCTTACTAATGAGCGCATTGTTGAGACTCCTATGGAGCTTAATCTTCACCTCTGTGCTACTGATGGTGATCCTCTCCCTGACCCGACGCGTTATCGTCATCTTGTTGGCAGTCTTGTCTATCTAGTTGTCACTCATCCGGACATCTCTTATCCGATTCATATTCTGAGTCAGTTCGTCTCTGCTCCCACATCAGTTCACTATAGTCATCTCCTTCGTGTTCTCTGATATCCTCGGGGCACAATCTCTCACCGTCTATTATTTCCTCGCTCCAGTTCTTTACAACTTCAGGCCTATTCGGATGCTACGTGGGCTAGTGATCCTTCCGATCACCGTTCACTTTCTGCTTACTGTGTTTTTCTTGGTGGTTCTCTCATTGCCTGGAAGACGAAGAAACATATTGCAGTTTCCCGTTTGAGTGCCGAGGCTGAGTTGCGAGCAATGGCTCTTTTGACGACAGAGGTGACTTGGTTACGATGGTTACTTCAGGATTTTGGCGTTTCTGTCACTACATCGACTCTACTCTTATCTGACAGTACAGGTGCTATTGGCATTGCGCGCGATCCTGTGAAGCATGAGCTCACCAAGCATATTGGTGTTGATGCTTTCTATGTGCACGCTGGTGTGCATGATCAGGTTATTGCTCTTCAGTATGTGCCTTCCGAGTTACAGTTGGCGGATTTCCTGACGAATGCCCAGACTAGAGCACAACATGGCTTTTATCTCTCCAAACTCAGTATTGTTCACCCACCATGAGTTTGAGGGGGGGGTGTTAGAGTTATAATATAAGTCATGTACCCCTTTGTTCATCCCGTTGTATAAGGGGTTTCCTGCATATGTTCCACACCTGTACATGTATATATATCGGCCTATGACCTCATGGGAATATAAGTTGCTTATTCCTAACAAATCCATCACCAATAGCTACAGCAGAACTAGTTGTTCAATCATTGTGTTCATCAGAAGTAGCTACTCTAGCATGCTACAAATCCTACACAATCCATAGTATTCATCATTATCATACTACTCAATATACACAGATCTAGCACAAATAGATACCACTACATCAAAATCTAGCATCGGCTCAAAGATCAATGCATGAATGAACCGTACCACATGCTTGCAGTTGCACATCTAACCCTACGACCACATCCTCTCGGATCTAGCTTGAACGAACATAGAGAAAGAGGTCATTGAACTCACAGAGGCCATGGTTGCAGCTCGGGGTGACGCGGGAAGGGTCAGAGAAGTTGAGGACATGAGTCGCCGCCATCGTCGACCGCCGGCCAGTGAAGGAGCTCCACTTACCTCGTCGTCGTTGCCGATGCACACCGGCGGGAAAGATCGAAAGGGGGGGAGAAGGGTGGCGGGCTTTTGGCGGTGAGAGGATGGGGGCTAAATAGAGCGACCGAATCGGCGGGAGGTGAGCCGAAATCCTCCCGCCAATTTTTTGAAGACGCGCACGAGCTTGCGCCATCTCCCTGCCTTGCACGAGCCTCGCTTTGGAAAAACTACTGACCTGGGCATAGGTCGCGGGCTGGGCTGGGAGTGCTTTAAAGTTAATGCCATGCAGGCCGAACAGTATATACAGGCCAACCAAACAGGCCGATTCAATCCCGCGCGGGCCTAATTGGCCCAAATGCGGGTAACCAAACGCGTCCATAGTACATCTTCAAGTACGTCCTCTTGATCAGGTCCTATATTTGTTTTTTAGGATACCATATTGGTCATTTGACTCTTTTACCTGTGACCTCATGTAGTAAAATTAAACAATACATTAATTGTTTTAGTACCTATTTTACGATGAGCGTCTTGAATAAAAACAAAATAGCACTTCTACTACATAATCTTAATAAATGATACAAATCTAAACTCACACAACTCTAATAGAGTTGAATAATAAATACTCCACTGTAAACAAATATAAGACGTTTTAGATCAGCATACACATTTTTTTGTGGAGCCATTTATTTGTTTTCTATGGCAACACACGTACTTTCAACTTTGCAACCAAAGTTCGAATATGAAACAATTGATTTACTTTTGCAAGTTCGACCAAGTTACCTTCACTGAGATAGAGGCAAGCTCAAGCATGATTTGCTGATAGTCGTACCCATGTTTTTTCGCTTTGAAGGAACAATGGTGATCAAGATCATTTTTACAACTATTTTGTCCTACTTTGAACTTCAAATGCATCAAAGTATTCTCCTTTACAGCAACCACATGTCTTCTCAAGCCACACGACTCACCAATACTGCCACGAAAGAGTTGGATCTCATGTAAACCATCCATAAGGGGAACACACGAACTGAGAGATAAATCAAATCCACACTGCACTTTTGATATGACAACATCTATTGTGGCCTCAAATGCCCAACGAACGAGGGCTAAAGTGATGTCAACCGCGCCACAATCGCCATTAATCCGATCCGTGAATGGCTACTCAGGTGTGACTAGATCGTTGTACTCCATTGCACCATCAATTAGTTGTAGATCATCTTCTTGCTTTCCTTTCTTAATCCTCATGTCAAACTCAACTAGAACAGGGGCTACCATTGTGATTCCTCGCTTAGGGCCGGTCATCTCCAAAATAGATGACCTAACTATGTACTAATTTTGTACTAAAGTTAGTACAAAGTTGAGTGATCAAATTTGGAATGGAGGGAGTATGATATATCGACAAATTTATATATCCAAATAAAGCATGATACTTTTTGCTAATTCATAAATTCTTTATAACAATCCAGATATTTATTGCCTTTTTTTAAAATACAATAATGCATTTTAAATCAATCAACCAAACCATATACTCCCTCCGTTCCAAAATAGATGACCCAACTTTGTGCTAACTTTAGTATAAAGTTGGGTCATCTATTTTGGAACGGAGGGAGTAGCTGTTAAGCATCCTAAAAATAAAATGAAACACGGTATAGAAGAGATCAAGATAACTTACTCTCATCACGTTGAGTAAGACGCCATAGCTTTAGAAAACCATAGTTTATCTTGTATATAGAACCATCCCGATGGGTGGTTTTCTTAAGGATGTTGGCTTCAAATACAGGATAAGAGGCATGCCCAACAAGGAATTGCTTCGTTCGCCCCTTCATCTCTGATCTGTTCATCCCCTTGGTGATGGCAAATTGTTTGCCTTTGGTGGCATAGATGGAGGTGCAGAAATAATTACTGGCACAAGGGAGGACGCGGAGCCAATTTGGCCTGCCCCAGTTATTCACTCCTTTTACTGCAATGTTGCTTGCCAGGACAAAGGATGCATAAGCAGATCGGTCAACAAAGAGCAATCTTAGAACCCAGTCATTATTCCGTGTTAGTCTCATTCCAGATCCAAAAATCTCCAGCAGCATGGTTCTGACGAGAATAATCTACAGAAGGCCAAAACACACTGTAAAAAACGGTACAGATTATGGCATGAGTGGAGCATCCCGGCTTATTCAACATTTTTAGCCCAATAAATCTAGAATTTCTACTCAATACTTGACGGTCCAAATAGATAAAACATGACAAAAACTACAAATGACAATACCAAAATGTCAGAATTGTCCTGCACATTCACACATACAACTGAAAACAAAATCTCTAAATCTTCTATTTAAGCTCGGGTCTAAAGTATGGCACATCGCGATATACTGGACACATACACATGATACGGAATGTCAAAAAGACAAGAACCACCGCCGGCTGCCTGAAGCCCTGAACCTCACCTGAATCGAAGGTGACAAGCCTGCAGCCGCCCCATCCTGGCTTATTGAACATTGCCCAATAAATCTAGAATTTCTACTTAATGTTTGACGGTCCAAATAGACGAAACATGACGGAAACTACAATGGACAATACCAAGATACCAAAAAGTAGCAACCAGAAAAAATAATCTCTTGATCTCCTATTTTGAAAATTACCACAAGAGTATTTAATCACAGCACTAAAGTATGGCACATCGCGATATGCTGGACACATACACATGATACGGAATGTCAAAAAGACAAGAACCACCGCCGGCTGCCTGAAGCCCTGAACCTCACCTGAATCGGGGGTGACAAGCCTGCAGCGCGGCGGCTGCCGCCGGGACAGGGCCGCCGGGGCAGGTGCGAGGCCGGATTGCAGGAGCAGGCCGGGGGACGGCGCGACGCGGGCTGCGGCAGGAGAGCGGCAGAGGTGCGTGACAATGGAGCGGGATCAGCAGGTAGCGGTGCCGGCGCACAAGACGGCGGCAGCCTATCAACGCGGCGGCGGAGGCGCGTGCATCGTGGCTCTGGCTAGCTGCCCCGATTGCGCGTGCGGTCTGCCTTTGCCTTGGGCCTTGTTGTGCCACTGGCTGTCAGCAAGAAGGGCCCATTAAAAATAGTGCTGAATTGTCTTCAAGGCCTAATGGATCCTGTAGCACACAGCTGGGCCGGCCCATTAACGTAGAGCAACAACTATGCAAGGGCTGCCCTTTATCTCAAAAAAGAAAAATGCAAGGGCTACCTACCCCTACCCCTTGCACGGCTCCCGCAAGAGTCACTTTTTTCCTCACAAAAGTCACTTTCTTGACATACGAGCGCGGGAAGTGGTGCGCTCATATGATTTTTTTTCTAAACGCATTTTTCGGTTTTAGAAGTTTTTTTTTCTCTTTTTGGTTTTTGTTTGGTTTTCTCTACTTCCAAAGCAAAAAAAAATCATTTTGTTTCTTGCGAATCACAGCTATGCTTCTCAGAAAAAGTTGTGCTTCCACGAGAAGCACATATTTGATTTCAAGATAAATACAATTGTGTTTCTCGAAAAGGAAAAAAAAATATGCTTTCCAGAAACATATTTGCTTCAATGGAAGCACAACTCTGCTTCTCGAAAAGGGATTTGTGCTTCCACAAGAAGCACAATTTTTTTGTCATGGAAGTATAATTTTATGATGCCATTAACAAGTTAAGCAAACTTAACTCAGCTTAAGTGATTGGTTATTGAGATAAGTAGGTGATCAACTCAAGCTGACATTGATATTAAACCATTAGGATCCTGAGATCTCAGCTGCCGGATCAGTTTTGAAAGGGTGTTTCTCTCATGGGAGAAGGCGAGTAGAATGGTTGTGTCGTGATAGTGATAGTATACATCCAGGGTTAACAATGCCAGCTGGAATCTTGTCTTCTAGCATTGAGACATAAGCCACAACGCCTTGAAATATAAACAGGAAACCTGTTACTTTTTTTGTTGCCGAAAATAGTTTTGTATACTCTGAACGTAATACAATTGGAATTTTTTATTTACTTATTTTTGGAGCTTGTAGGGTTTCCAGTTGTTACTGTGTAAATTAATTACTCATTCACATGTTGGCGCAATATGCTTCACATGCAATTTCTTACAGGGGAAAGAGATGTTTGGTGAAAGAACATGTGGTGCCCCCATGTTTGGTTTTGGTAATTGATGACAATCTTTATGGACTAATGGTTTTGTCTTGAGTTATTTGAAGGTTTTGTCCATAGGCTTTTCTTAAAGTACATGTGTTGGTTTCAAGGAGAGTTTGTGTCGACCAAGGTGCTTTTCAAGGAATTACCTAAAAGATTGGTCTTGTGAGGGGTTGATCAAGACTAAGTCAAAGAGTGAATCAAGTTCATCAACACACAAAGCGTAGAAGATGTACCGAGAGGGATCAAGTGATCCCATGGTATGGTAAGCATTGTCAATTATGCTTTGTGTACTAATCCATGGTCTTCATGAGAGTTCTTTGTGGGGTTAGGATGCGGTGTGCAAATTCAAGTGATGCATCACGAAGAGATCAAGTGCTTGAAGCTTGTCGTCCATTATGGTGACAATGGACTTGTGAAGATGAGCCGAAGAGTGGCTCACTCATAGTGGACTATGAGGGAGCAATCGTCCAATCTTCATCGAGCCAACACAATCAAGAAAGATGGTCCAACTTGAGAGAGTCAAGATCATCATCATCTAGCTCAAGTGGACTTCGTGCAAGGCAAAGGTTTACCCTTGATAGGTTTTCTATTTTACCGGTCTCATGGTGGTAGTTGGGAGACCGGGTTATAGAGTCGATTGCCGTACTATCAAGGGGGGCTCTCAATGAGTAGCTCGATCGTATTGTTCGTTGAGAGCTCAAACCACTGCATCCTTGCATCATCTTTCTTGGTTCTTGTTTGGTTCTCTTTGTGAGATTTGGAGCTTATGGTCATCTTGATGACAAGCTCGAGTTCATCGAAAACGGAGTTCACATGCATCTTCTATGATGTTTCGATGTTGGAGGTTCTGCCGGTTCTTCTCTGTTGGAGGTTTCTCTCCTCTTTTTGTTAGGCATACCTCCCCTGCCTCTTCTTGAGTTTTTCTCAATTCCGAGCTCATTTGCAGAAGTTTTGGCAGTTCTGGTTTTATTGTTTCCCTCTATTGTATTCTCTGCAAAATGAAGGACTCCAAGTGTTGCTAATCTGGGGCATGCGGTAGTACTGCTCTCCGGAGCGGTAGTACTGCAGGCCCTTGCGGTAGTACTGTAGTCCCCTGCGGTAGTACTGTAGGTGCTCACGGTAGTATTGCTGTATGGGAACGGCAGTACCGTGGCCTCAGGCCAGGCGCAGCTGCTCGAGCGGCAGTAGGGGCGGATGTAATTTTTTTACATCCGCGCCCTACGCGGTAGTACCGCGCGACGGGCGCGGTAGTACCGTGGGCTCTGGCTAGGCATAGAAGCATGAGCGGATGTATGGGTGGATGTAATTTTTTACATCCGCGCCCTACGCGGTAGTACCGCTCCTCGTGTGCGATAGTACCGTGCCGGATTTTTGCGCAGGTCCTCCCTCAGCGGAAGTAGGTACGGAAGTAATTTTTTACTTCCGTGGTTTCTCTGCGCCTAGTGTTGCTTGCCTTACGGTAGTACCGTAGGGGCGCGTGGTAGTACCGCTCCGGCGGTTCTACCGCTCGTTGCCCTGTGCAACAGGCCTTCATCTGGCCAGTGCCGCACAAGCGGTAGTACTGCAACCAGCAACGGTAGTACTGCAGCCAACCGCGGTAGTACCGCGTCGTGCGGGATGAGTGAGGGGATAACAGTTGGATTTTTCCCCACCTATAAAAGGGGGCCTTCTTCCCCATTGAGTCTTATCCTTTGAGCTCGTGTTCTTCCCCCATTGTTGACCTTCTCCGAGCTTGCTATCTCTCAATCCCTCCATGGATTCTTGCTAGTTTTGGGGGGAAAAGAGAGAGGAGATCTAGATCCACATTTCCACCAATCACTTTCTCCTCTATGTGAGGGGAACCCCTTGGATCTAGATCTTGGAGTTCTTGGTGTTGTCCTTCTTGTTCTTCCTCTCATTTTCCTCCCTAACATTAGTTGCTTCGGTGGGATTTGGGAGCGAATGACTTGGGCACTCCGTGTGCCCTTGCCATTGCATTTGGTGCATCGGTTTGAGTTCTCCACGGTGATACGTGGAAGTTACAAGTTGAGAAGCTTATTACTCTTGGGTGCTTGGTGCCCTTGAGCTTGTTCCTCTTGGGTGCTTTGGCTCCCTAGACGGTTGGTGGTGCTCGGAGCTCAATCATTGTGGTGTAAAGCTCCGGCAAGTGTCGGGGTCTCCAATTAGGTTGTGGAGATCGCCCCGAGCAATTTGACGGGTACCAGTGACCGCCCCCAAGGGTTGCCAAAGTGTACGGGTTCGGTGACCGCCCCCAAGGGTTGCCATTTGTACGGGTTCGGTGACCACCCTCAAGGGTCCCTTAGTGGAATCATGGCATCTTGCATTATGCGAGGGCATGAGGAGATTACAGTGGCTCTAGTGGCTTCTTGGGGAGCATTGTGCCTCCACACCGCTCCAAATGGAGATTAGCATCCGCAAGGGTGTGAACTTCGGGATACATCGTCGCCTCCGCGTGCCTCGGTTATCTCTTACCCGAGCCCTTTACTTTGTGATAGCCATATTGTTTCTTGTCATATATCTTGCTATCACTTAGTTGTTTATCTTGCTTAGCATAAGTTGTTGGTGCACATAGGTGAGCCTAGTTGTTGTAGGTTTTGTTCTTGACAAATTAACCGCTAGGTTTATTCCGCATTTTTTCAAGCCTAAACC